AAAAAAAAAGATAAAAAAAACGCAATCGATTTAAGTACCTCCTCGTTTTATGGATATATGTATATAATAACAAAAAATATTATTATTAGGCATTATTTAGGTGAGCATGCTGCATCGTCGACCCCACCATCACTTCTCATCATGTGAGATGGAGGTCAAATGCGCACTTAATATTTATTGAAAGCAAAAAAGTTTAGAATAATGGATAATTTTTTAGTCTTCAAATTTTATTTAGCAGAAATGGGTTTACGAGTAGGTTCTGGGTATGGATTTTATAACGTATCGCGTCACTACACGATTCTATCTTTCGGATATTGAAAAACACCTGCGAATTATGGGTCCTATTCTTATTTGACTCGCCCAACAATGACTTCGAAAATCTACTTTTGTGGCTTTTCAGAATTTACGGATTTGTTTTATAATACTATGTGGCGGGAAGAACAAGGTGCTTGGTAGCAAGCTACGCGCCTATCCATAATATTTGCACCGACACTCAGAGCTTTAAATTGTAGACGTCTTAGGGACACTGCCCTTGCGTCAGTCACCCTTAGACATAAGTTGACAAGTCCCATGAGCTTGACATTTCACCAGCACAGTAAGTTTACATTACTTTGGCGGCAGAAATTAAGTGTTATGTTTACAGTTATAAAATAATAAACTGTGTGTGTGCGTGTAGGTATGTGTAAAGGACAAGAAAGCACGGGCAGTGAATTATGATTCGCGAATGTTTGGGCATTGAGCCGTTAGCATGAGTGTTATGTCCGGCGGATTAGTCCGGTTATATGAGCGGCGCTCGCGCACTGCAGTGCACTCACCCCTACATTGACTTAGGGTTGACAATCTAGAATTTCAGCGTCTCCCCGGATTAGACATGTGCGCGAGTCGTGAAATCGTCGACGATGGCGTCAGTTACACAGGCGTGAAATCGGCATGGCATTTATTTTTGAGGTATTAAAAAAAAACCACTAATATATTTTTTAAATCAGCCTTATTTAAATTTCAACTTTTTTTAAAATTTGAACTTGTACCGCAACACGTATGTGTATACCGCAGTAGGTACGTTACAATAATAGTCACATTAAGGAATGTTTGTAAAAAAGCAATAATAAAAATATATGATCTTAATTTAATGTGGTGTCGAGACAGAGTAACTTAGATAACTCAAACCTATATACTGTAACCTAGGGGCGTAGCTTAGGATGCGTAGCGAGAGGTACTTTATAAATATAAACTGAGATAATCTTCAAAACTTGATATGTATTGTACTTTTTACATGTTTACTTTTTGAGGTTACTTCTGGATCTCTCAAGATGTTCTTTCTTTCTAACCTATTTTTTCAAACACATTCTAAATACAAAACTATATTCACTCCGCCAGTAGTTCTACTCATAGAGTAGAACCTAGACTACAATACTGTGTACGTATAGCCAAGTAGACATAAGTTTGCGTTCTCTGTATTTTATTTACACAATAAATCGGGACATGTAACAGAAAATATTTTTATTCTCGTCTCTACATGGCTATATACATGAGTTATCTTTATCTTTCTATACACCACATTAAATCTACCTCTACTATGAATAGGACGGACGTATTAGTCTCAATTGCATATAAATATTGTGTAGAAATATAGTAAGTACTTACCATAGAATTTGATTAAAATAAAAACTTAAATAAATCGAATTTTATGAAGCTGTATTTACGGCGGTCAAATTCGTCGTCGGCAAAAATTCGTCGCATTTCTTTAGTCCCCATGAATCGTTCATCCGGTAGATTAGTCCGGATATACGATCAGCGTTACCGTAGTTGAGTACAATCACCCTAGCTACCTCCTAGATCTACATAGGGGGTACATTCCTGCAGAGGAATAGATTTGATTGCCCGTTCAGTTGTACAAGAGCCGTTCACAGATGGTTATTATTCCATGTGAAGTGATGTTCTTTGGATTGTTTTCCTTAAAGTCACGTTATGATTATTGGAAAATTTCAGTGAGGCCTTTGTTATTGGGAACTATTTGAAGTTTCTTACTCTCGCCCGAATACCATTACAAATCGAATGTTATTTATATCAGCAACCCTAAACCGCCATTAACACTATCACCGTCTTCGGGCGTAGCTATAGTGTACGTGGTCGGGACTGCCGATGGCACATCAGTATGCTGCGAACGCATATGACTCACGCGACGTGACGCGCCTGCGCGACCGTCTTTGTTACCTTGCACTGTACACGTCTCGGTGTCAAACCGCCACTTTCTAAAAGCCCTAACGATCTCCTTTTATACTCTTGTATGTATTCTGTATTGTACTACTTATTGGGAATCACAAGAGAGAAACAAACTTGGGTGGTTGATTATGAATCTTTGAAACAATAATGTAATATGAGTATAATTAGTGAAAGACGCGGTGAATTTTTTTTCAACTACATTTTTTTTTTCAATTTGAAATCTACAGCATTACTACTGCTGAAATAATGTTGATTTTTCTCAAATGTGTAGTGTGTATTTTGAGCACGTTGACCGAATAGATCAAATTTATGACTTTGGATGTGTAGATATTTTCAATTACTTCAAATTAATGGTCACCCGTTTAGATCTTTTCTAATGTAATAAATTAGTTCCAAAACGATGTTAATGTAATACTAGTTATGAAACGGGTTTGGACCTAATGGATGATAAGCATCACAAAAGTATAAATAAAGCTATAAAGCTTTTAGGCGTGGATATAAAGTTTCAATAAACTTTGCTACCGAACGTCAGAGAGACTACGAATGCAAAACATCATGTTAAGATAAATTGTCTGAGCTATTAAACAAACGATGGAGGTATTCATCGTGAAAAGATTGTATAAAAAGGTAAAAGCGAAGTACGCGAGTAATGCGCGACATCGTTTATGCATGAGCCTGTATTATGCATGGATTCCAATCGGAGGTTCAGAGCCTCTAATAGCCGAGTAAAGCTCGAACGGGGGTTTCAACCGTGCAGCTTTTTAACGATGGGAGTGGACAATTGGCTGTCTTAAAACAGTAAAGAAGCAATAAGTCTTCTAAATTTTCACATTTCAGCTTAAACGATTAAAATAATTGTTAAGGAAAATTTATAATGCGTTAAAAATACAAACTGTACTGTTTACCGCCGCATGCGTAGTTATCAATCCTGCGCAGGATTGAAAGATGGTTGAACTGATAGGATAGCTTGTAATCTAAATACGTATTGGTTTTCCATTAGGGCGACATCGACACTTTAATGGCAATCGTGGACGCCAGCAATAAATACTTCTAATCTCTGATAAAATAGCCGTGTGCAGCAAAGACGTGGTGTCTATCAATCTCGAGCCAATTAATGAGTCTACTACTAAGTATGCAAATCAGTTCAACACTGTTAATTTCCTTGGAGGATCGTTTCTACTAGCGTTCGACACGCTACAAGATGCATTTAATCATAGTGTGTTCATAATATAACCCCAAGGATATTAATAAAGCGTGTTGAGGTTCGAAGACCTGAAGGTGACCGATGTCTGTCTAGAAAATTCTTAGGTAGTCAATCTTTTAATACCCAATTCAACGGTTTAGATTTAATATTAGTTGTCAGTGTGCTTTGGTAAGAGACTTTCGGAATTTAGTGATTTGTACCAGTGAGAGTTGGATGACATTGCACTACCAATTCATTAAGTCGGAGTAATGACCGACGTTCAAGACCGTCTGTCGGTTGTTTACAGTCCAGGCGCCACTATTCCTACACTAATTGCAACTTTTTACTTCACCTTTATTACTTGTGGGCTTCCTCGTTTACTGCAAGGTATTTAAGTACAAGCGTTCCTTGGATATTCATTCCTTGGAATGATGTACAATTTGTTCGGTAGTTTAGATGCGTAAGTTTGTGGTAAACCACAACAAGATACGCAATGTAAATTTAATCAAGCACGTCGTTACCAGACGGAGGGCCGACCGCTGCATGATTGGCTTCGCTTTGTATTGATGAATTTGTTTGATTTGTAAAAAACCAGTCTAAATAAGTATGATGTGAAAGTAACCTTGGAAGTAATACACTTACTTTGACTTTTGTTACTTGATGAGTACCTTAATTAATTAAGTGTTTAAAATATGAATTATATTTACGTAGCAGACGTATAACGCCGGTACTTTAACAGGAATGTTACGCAATACAAAAGAGCGGAGGCGTCGATCATGTATCAAGCAAGATGAATGGCCGAGGAACAGCGCGTCTCGGGGTCATATTAATTTTGTGACAACATTCATTGTCACGTCCACTCCCACTGGAGACTAGCTTGACTCAAACAAACGGGTCATATTGCATTATAAATACTATTGAGTCTTTTCTGTTTTTATATTTTAAGTACAATCTGAAAATTGATTTTGCCTTCACAAAATGCCTTGAAAAGGGGTGACTAACCAACAAATTGCAAAGAGTGTCCATTACCTTAATTGATATTTTTCTTTTAAAATTTGTTCTTAGGTTACCAACACATTGCCTCGTATGTAAAATATATTTACAATACCGCCGTCCGCTAACTGAAGCAAAATTTTATTTTGAGATATCATAAAAAAGCCATAACCCAGTTTTAGATCATTTTCAGCTATGCATCGTTAGGGTAAGTTCCGATAAGTCGAACGCGTCAACTAATTTTACCTGTTTTCAAAAGAGAATTTTGTGCTCTATCTTTTGCTATATAAAACGGATATTTGACCATTTGTCTCTTAGCCGCGTTCTGCATAGTGGACGGCAGAATAATCAAGCTGTACCCGACAATATTGTAGGAGGTTTTACGAAATCTGTTCGTATAACCGCAAATATGATCTGTCGGCCGAAAGTTAAGTACTTAGGAAAATATATAACATATCTTAAAACTGAGTTTGATATTTCTCCTAATAAGATATTATTAGCAACAGGTATATGTATAGACCAAAATGTCAATGTTATGAGATTTACAATTAGCGTATTTCTTGTTAAGTGCGGTAATATAATATTCCGTTATTTATTTCAGCCCAGAGGATAACAACCATTCAGCTCGATGGTGTGCAATATTTCATATCAAGAATGAACCCGTACAGCCCGGAGCTCAACTACTTCCTAGCTTATCAATATTGCAGGTACGACTTTTCGCATATCATTCTTATTTACAAAAAGGGCATCAACAAGTTTCTTAGATTCTTTTGCCTTTGTGTGATCGTCGTTATGAACATTTCTCATAGCAATATCAATGGAGTCCCGTTACTTAATGTTGAGCTCCGATCTTCACAAGTAATAATCATGGCTCAGCAAAAGTATGCTTTCCATTTCTCACGGGATAGACTCAGCAGATTTAATAGTCGCATCGTGACTTTGGATTCCTATCTGTCGTGTCGTATCGGTCCTGTTCCTGCCATAAGTAAGCTTAGCTGGGTTGGCGTTAACAAGCGTGAGTACTTTGGTCCTGTTTAAGTATCTAGGTTCACTCCGAACGCCTTGAGTCGCGACCAGGAAGTGCAGGACATTTGCATTCCCGTTAGTTTCTGGGAACATTCAAGAACAATATCGACACTCCGATTGCCTGTTTCAAACTATTTTTGACGCTCGCTCACAAGCCGCTCTAGAACATTTTGTTTGAAATTTCTAGAATTCATATTAATAATAAAAAAAACTTTGTTTTATTTTAATATTAGCAGTTCTAACACTATCTAATGAACACTTACGTGACAAAAATACTCTTATATTTTCAACTGCGTGTTGAAGGATATAATCGTCTTTGTTGTTGAAGTATAATATATTGAATTAGAGCATGGTTTCATTGCAGAAAGGAACCATACTAGCACCGTGAACTAAATTGAACCACGTGCATTCGTATCAAAGGTTACTTGCCTCGTCGTCGGTCGGTCACGATGTCCTTCTATCACGGATCACGACCTATTTACAGTTTCAATTGTTAACGACGGTGGGAGCATACCTCGGAACACTTGTTTAGTTTTTTTAAGTGACCTCAAGACTAATGATTGAGCGTGAACTTGAAATCGATTAAGGTCGTTGTAGGATCATGTGAAGTAGAGAAAACAGTGAGATCGTCATTCAGAACGACAGGCATATCGAGCCAACAGGTGCTGCGTGGCGAAGTGTCATGAGCCAGTGTCGCACATGTCTGCTACTAAGTTGCGGGATCCGTGGATAATTTGCAAACTGCGCATTGAGACCGTCGCGTTACGGTTCTTGCGGATCGTGACAAAAAGGAAATAACGGTAGAACCACGTCGAAGAACCATTTGCAGTTTTTTATCATCTTATATCATCCTGTTTAGTACGACAAATAAGTGAGAGTTGATAATTTAACGACAGTTACACTCGTAACAACTTGCACCGTGTACCTATGGTGAATGTATGTGTATAATTTTCTACGATTGTTTGGAGTGATTTGTGTTAAGTTGATGGTGTATATCTTTAATAATAAATACAACTTCATTCCTTTTCCGACATGGCAACCAATAAACGACGCCTTAATGTTAATGCCTCCTAAATATTTATATCGCTCGATATTTTGCATTGAAATATCCAACAACGGTTCACAATTATCAATATCAATTTATTTTAATAAAACCTGATCGGAGACTGGTATGGCCACTTGTATTGAATAAAAAGTGAAGAAACCGCTATGACGCTAAAGTACACTGAGGCTGATGAATTGAAGTGGTGTATAATTTATAATGTTTTAATTTATGGCAAAAACATTGGAGCGTGTCAGGGGTGGTAATTTGCAGTGACATATTTTCCCATTGAAACATTGATTGACGGTAAGCTCATAATGTACCACACTTTATAAGCTTACCGCCAATCAATGCTAAGCTTATTTAGTATGTCGTTCCATAGACGATGTTGAGTATAAAGGAATAACGTTATAAAACATTATAACATTGCCTTGCAATGTAACTGATCGCGTTGGTCGATGATTACACGAATCGCCGCGAGGGGTTTTTAATCTCCTAGAGTTTTCTGAACTTGGAGATGGAATGTCGTCCCGACGTTGCAAGGCCGTAGCTTGTCTTTAGTCAATAAATTGCATCGCGCTGAACAGGATTTTCTGAAGTTCCTCCACACGATCTAATAGCTGAATATGTTTACCAGGAGTAGTTACTTATTTAGCTAACATGTATATATTAACGCCGCAGGACGAGTTTTCCACTACATAGTGTTATGCTCACAAGTACTTGATTTGTTGTTTATGTTATTTAAATATTCATTACGAATATAAGATACGAATTCGTTTAATAAGAAAATGTACATATATTTTTGTCAGCGTGAAGGTAATTAAAACTGTTTTGTTTATTATTTCAGATCACTAGGACTCCAATTAGCTTCTTTTGAAACTAAAGAGAAGGCAGATTCTATAACGACATATCTTACGAATGCAGGTGAGTGTACAATTTTCGTAGAATCTAGATTATTTACGATACCTACTAAGTGATAGGATAGACAAGCCGCGAGTGAGACGGTAAGCTACACGCCTTGTCCATAACGGTTGCAGTGCCAATCACAGCTTTAAATCGCAATGATCTGGGGGGCATTGCCACTGCACCAGTCATCCTGAGACATAAATTGACAAGTCTCATGTGCCTGTAATTTCACCATCGCCCTTACCCTTCTAATCCAGAACGCAGCAATGGTTACATTACTGCTTGTAGGCAGAAATAGTACGGTGGCAGTACTTCCCTGGACGAACTCTTTTCTTTTTGAACTCTTTCACTAAGAGCTCTACTGCTACTAGAACATAAACGTTGAAAACAATGTTGCGCTTCTTTGAAGAAAAAATTACTTAATCAGACCAATATTTTAATTCCAGGCTACAATAAATATGACTTCTGGACATCAGGCAACAATCTAGGCACAGATATGTATTTATGGATGAGCACAGGTCTTCCCTTTAACGCGACTTTCAACTACATGCGGCGTGTGACCGTGGATGCTCCCAGTCAGACCCCTGACGACAGCATGGATCCTCTTGATATGCCCCAGGGTAGCACCGCGCCTCAACGCACTGCCAGGCATGGGTACGTAGTTAAAGGCAAATTTCTAAGTATTGTCTTTGTTTATTTATTTTTTATACAAATGTAAGTGCTAATTTGACCTCCATCGCACCTGATGGAAAGGTACGATGACGACTACGATGGAGCATGCACACCTAAATAATGCCTATTCACTTTCGCATTGAAAAGGTCCAAGTTATAACGTTCAGGGAACAAATCTGCAGGCGGGGAATTCCACTCCATAGCCGTTCGCCATATGCGAATCTTTGGAATATCCTCAACATAGGGGTGAAATCCAAACCCATGTCTACTCCCCCGATGGTGGAAAGGGAAAGGTGGAATTAAATCACGTAATTCCATCGCACACTCTCCGTGATATACCCTGTAAAATACCGATAAGCAGGCAAGTTTACGGCGGTATTGTATTTTTATTACACGCGACTATGATTATCTTTAGTCATGATTATCTTAAATTTTGATGCACCATTGCACGTTTTTTGACAGTTGTTGTTCTCGATGATCATTCGTGGTGAAAGAAAAAAAGCATCTGATCCATTATTGTAAATGACTAGATTATAAGCCTTTGTTGTGTGAAAGACATTCCTGTATATTCGTATTGCAACCGGTCTAAACAATTATAGTTTAGATTTTTCCCACGTTACGCTTGGCTGACTGCGATTATTTGTTGGATAAATTGGTTTCCATTGTCAACTCATCATAAACGATTTTAAGTAACGGTTTTGGACGTCGTCTCAGATTACCTTTTAGTTTGTGAAGAATCACTGAAGATAATGAAAATAACTTAGCAATGTTTGCAATTAAGAGTGTGCGTTGATATGTAATGCATAAGAACTAGTTTGTCTTCCAGGACGGAGCATGTGATGACGAATGGCTGCGTAGCTCTCAAGGCGCCGACTTTCCACTGGGAACCGCAGCACTGCGGGGAGATTAAGGACTTCATCTGCGAGCAAACGCGCTGCTACTACTACAACTACGGCTCCATCCCGGTCTCCTCGGCGCAGGGGTAATGCCAGGTGAGATGCCAGCCGTCTCCGGAGGCCCGCTCCCCGACTAGCCGCGCGCTCTCCCCAATTTCCATAAGTATTGCCATTGCCTCGCAGGGTTAACATTTAGCTTTCAAATTGGCGATTATTATTATCAGACCAATAACTTTTTGGTCTGTAGTTAATATAAAGTTGATGCAGTAGTGTGTGTGCTAACATTGGCATAGTATATCATTTTCATTCCTATGTGTTTGAAGCGCGCGAGCCCGCGGGATTAGGTCTCTGCGCAAACCCAACCACCAAACAAAAGCCCTACACCCAACAAACAAAGTTTTGGCTTTTAAAGTTTCAGAGTCTTTCTTTTTTAAATAATGTTTTCAAAATTATCTAAGTCCATTTGGTGGGTGGGTGAAGGGGGCTTTGCTTGGTATCTCTTGAGATACTTTTAGTGAACAAAGTATTGAAATACTAATTCAATTATTTAATATTTTTGTTTGTGTGCTCTAACTGCGTTTAATTTTTAGCTTAATAATATCATTAATTTATATTAATTATATAGTAGTGTTGCGATTTTTGTACTAATTCACATACAATTGTGGGTATGTGTACGGCTCTCTAACTGAGGGTCGTCCATTTGTGGTAACAGGAAGCCGTTATCGATGACGACCACGACGACGGCGCACCCGCTCACGTCGTCGTCGCCGCCGCCACCGCGATCCGAGCACCTGCCCACCCACTTCACCCTCAACGACCTCATCGGCAAGCTGCGTCCTTCCTCTCTCGATGGTCTTCAGTCTCCACATCTCAAGACTAATGCTTTAATGAAGTCCCCGCCTCAAATCGATTCTCATTACTCTCGCGCCGCTGACGCTCATTCTAAAGATTCCCACGATCATGAGCAGGAGCAAAAAGAGGAGCCGACTCAGGGACCCTATGAGGATGATGGCGGTATGGTAGGCGATGACCCCACGGCGTACTTGGCCCAGGAGGCAGCACGTGACGCGTCCGCCGCTGAGAAATCTCCGTCCACTTTCGAGCCGGACGCTACGGAGCACTCCGTCCACGCCAGCGGTATGCTGGCTCCTCCCGCCTACTAGCGTCCGGCTTGACGGTCGTATTAACTTAACCCTTACATGACAATTAGCTATTTTATCTACCAAAAGTATTACTTATGATTTAATGCAATTTTTCTCTAAGCGTTGTGGATTGTGTGAACTTGTGTTGAGGGTGCATACGTCGCTGCATAAGATTTTACTAATCAATATTACACATATGTAAATGATATTTCTAGGCTGATATTCTAATCGATAACTTCGAGCTAGGTGAATGACTGGGGACTTAGGTTTTATGGGGCAATATTATTTCTTGTGAAGGTGCTGGCGACTCGTTCTTTGCGACTTGCCTCCGTCTTCGAAAACGGTGAATATCACAAAATGAGTATTCCACGAAATATAGGTACCTAACTTCGATAAGTTTTAATTTTATGTAGGTGTGTCAGATCTCTGGTAATTTCATTTAAACCGTAATTTGTATTAATTTAATATAAGAAAATTAAGCCGTCGAAGTGTGTGGACATATCAATCAAAATAGTGGCAAATAAGATAGTGTTTATATACGCGACATACCTAGTTAAGTATAAATAAGTTGAAACTCAAGAATTTAAAAAATAGTGATGTAGCGAAGGTAATAAAGTTTAAACTTTAAAAGAAAAGATGTTTAATTTTGCAGTCTCAAAATTCCTCATTGAGTAATTAATTATATCCAATATATTAGCTTCAAGAGTCTAATTTAGAATATGAATAATATATGAATATAGCCACTATAAATATAGAAAATAACTTACCAGCCGTTGATAACACCTTCGACGTTGAGCATGGGTACAATTTTGAAGACATATTTGGCTCGTAGCGCGGCAGCAGCCGGCGTGTCACCTAGCAGATATCCAAGCGTACCGTCCATCACCCAAGAGGCATTACTCTCGCCTGGGTGCACTCGCGACGTCAGAAATATTATTTCCCGTTCCTAAAGCAAATAATAGAATGGCATCTAATAAGCAGTACTTTTCTTATAACGATCAATCGAAACATAATAGAAAATATAAAGATTTTCAATATGTAAAAATCATCAAGTTTCTGATAAGGGAAGATTATAAGGTAGTAACGCGTACTAACCACAATGGGATTTGACGGGGTGTCATCAGCAGATATGGTGACCAATGGAATTTCATTGTTGTTAAGAGAGTAACAGAGTGTCTCGGCGCGTAAATATGCTCCAGCTGGCATTTGCAAACTCCAGTGCCATATACGAGCCTGAAATGTACAAATTAATAGTAAAATTCCATCAGATGGACTGTCCATTTGCCGGTGTGTACATCATCATCATGATCAATCAAACACATGTCTTAAAAGAAAGGTTTTATTAGGTTATAGTTTAACACATTAACTTATCCACAGAACGGTGACATCAAACGTCTTCAAAAAGTTTTGTGAAATTCTCCAATATGCATCATCAGAATGTCCGTTAAATTAATAATTAGTAAATTAAAACCACACATGATTCGAAAAGACTCAGTGTTGTAGGAACTCCGGTAATCGAATCCAGTAGGCTGATTTTGATTCAAATCGGAAGATCCGATCGGGGGCTATCCGAGTCTCGAAATCAGATGGGTTTCCGAGCGAGAAGATGAACCAGATTCCTACTATATCTTTCTAATTTGTGAGTTACATCAACTATTGTTCCGATTTGAAATGTCAAAAGTTTCTGATCGGCCAGTTGTGAATCGCAATTATGCGCCTCTCGGAAGCAGATTCCTATCGGGAGAGGCAATAAAAATCAAGCTACTGGTCCTCATAGATAAGTGGCAAGTTTTGTGCCGTAAAAATGTGTAAAGTGTGTATTAATCCATTTTAAAGTAAATAACTATTACTTATAATTGTTCATACAAAGATCAAACACTTCGTGGAGTAATTTCACAAAAAATAATTGAATATCAATTTAATAAAAAATGTAACTATTATTTATTGACGTTTCTGGTCGGCTTAGAACAAATATTTTTGGCAACAAAACCTACGTAGTCCAAATTTGCAATAGTTTTACGAGTTTAAACAAAGACATTATTCTCACCATCATCATCGAGTAAGTGTAAGGGAAGTGATAAGCGAGGTAGCAGACGTCATTATTGTGTGGAAATTCGATATTGAACGTCACAGTCAGGTAGCATTTGTTGAGGTTCCTCTGGTGCGCGTAGTGATAGCTGTTGCGATAGTAACAAATATCTGTTCCAGCACGTACCCAACCTGTAACAGTAACAATAAAAACTCGCACTCTTGGTATAACTAGACGTCATCAGCGAAACTACTCATCATCAACCCATTTATACGTTCCATTGCTGAGCACGAGTCTCCTCTCAGGCGAGGGTATAGATCGTAGACCATCATGCTGGCCCAAAGCCCAGATTCGCACTCATGGTCTCTGCGAGAGAGGCGGTAGGTTAAGCTATTAGCGCGTATTTATTCGACACGAATGTCATCGCGCTCTCCCAGCGCGGTCGCCGAGCGGAGTCCGCGTTGCCGCCGCGCAGCGACCGCGTGCATCTCACTGTCGTGGCAAAATACGCTTTATTTATTTAGATTTTAGATTGTAACTTAAATGATCGATCCGGACACACGGGCGAGTTATGCTTGAATTTGGTCTAGGCGGCAGCCGTGCGGCGACTGCGCGGTTTAAAGATTCTAGGAACGAAATTATTGACATTTTGATAATTATATAATGATAACCATTTTATCTTATAGAGTTATAAAATTTCACATATACATTTTATTTGTTTCGAGTAGTACGTAGTACTATCTTAATGACTTCATGTGATAAAAGCACTTTGACGTATGATCACATATGGCTTTAAAATACCATGGATACGAAGTGAAATACTCATACAATGTGGCAATGCGGCTCCGTGTATAACACACAATTTGATTCACGAGAAGAAGGTAGTGTTACCTTGTCGTCCAGATATAGCCTCCTTTACAGAGTACATGACAGGTTTCATTCCGAAATTGAACTGGCTGTCTGATTTCTCACAGTTAACGATGTTGAAGATATACGGCCGCCCTTGCTGCATATTACGCACTTCAAAGTAGAACCACTGATGTCTCTTGTTTGAGTTGACATCGGGCATGAGAATCAGTTCATACTCTCTCGGACCTACCTGAAGTTATGCGCGTATGTAAGAAAGCACAACTTACAAAATATTATTTTAGGAAATGACGTTGCATTCAAATACCTGAATAGCTTTTCTTAGGTTACCGGACTCAAACCTCGACTCAAAACTAAGCCGTGTAGAAAACGTATTCATCTTTGCGACTTCTTGCTCATCGTTGTTACATAGGTAGAAACTTTCACAACTTAAACTATAGAAATCATTTTATTAGATGTTTTTTCTCAAACTAGAACGCAATATCACTGTAGTATATTATTTTACCTCTTTGGTGTGTTGGGATCACTACTTCCACTACACAGTTGGTCTAGATCATAAATAACTTCATACATGTACGCTTCTGGATTTATCGCTCTATCAACGCACGAGAGCAGCTTATTTCTGAATAAAAAAAAAATAGATATAATTTCATGGGTCTCGTAGTTAATCAGGTATAGTTGTGTAGTTGTCTCTCTGCTTATCACTAGGTAATTAAAGTAGCTACTTGAATTATGAACAGGCTGAAAGCCTTACAATAAAAGCTTTTAATACGTACGAAATTAAGTGCAAACATATTGCGATAAGCCAAATTATTTAAAAACTACAAAATTCCATCAGGGACGTATCTGACATGCTGCTGATCAATTTATAGCATTCGAACATACCTGCATGCAGTTCTCTCCATTTGATTCAATGGTTCAGGTATGTTTTGGCTTTGTCCACCTGTCATATCCGGGTAAGCTACTTTTACAAACGGTATGACACTCTTCACCTTCGAAGATATTGTGCAATATACCGATGAAAACGGACTGTACTTGGATATGTCCTTATGTATCTTAAGGGAAGAACACGAGGTTGATGCTGAAATATTAAGAAATCACGTTAAATAGCTAGACTTAAAGCCGACAGCATACTTTGGCGTTTAATGGGTGAAGTCACCACTCAATAGTCGCTAAAGTTGGATATGTTTTAGACGTGGACACTTGCCTAGCAGTCATAACAATCATCCCGATCCCCACGAGAAACAAGTAAAGCCGAATAGGGCGCCGGGTTTTATACCTGTGTTTGCCTTCACCGTCAACGAGAAGTATGGGTGCTACTTTTTCACAAATCTACGTAAGTATTTTGGAAATAAAATCATGTTTCATTTTGAACAGAGGGTGTCTCGTTTGAGAAGAAACCGCTGCACCCCCCGGGTACCAATGATCTCTAAAAACTTAAAATATATTATTTAGTGCTTGGTTGGCATGATTAAATTTTTTATAAGACATACTTGCATAGATGATCTTTATAATTGCAGAAAGCGACTTTAGTGCTTTCATTGTCTCTTACACTAAACTAGAATAAAATGCTTTTTTATAATCTGTTAGGAATATTAATTTAGATATCTGAAACCTCACCCACCACAACCACCGAAAATCCTTTTTAAGCCTTGGAAGTACTTTTTTATGGTCGTTATCATTGAGGAACCATGTTGACGCCGGCGAGGCTGACCTAAGAATGATGCGGGTCACGTGTTAATAGATTCAATATCCTACATTGCTAGCTATTTCAATTAAACCCTAAAGGCGCTTCCTGCAACTACGGTAAATATGTTGGTACATTCAAACAGCTAGTTGAACAAATTGACACTTACAAGCCGACTCGTGAACTTTATAGTATTGATAAGAAGATGAAGTTCCAAATAAATTGTCGCATTCATTTGCACCCAAAACTGTGCTGAGAGACAAATTCAAGGATGATGTCATGTTCTTAATATTAGCTTGTGATATCAAGAAATCTTCGAGGATAGAACCTCGAGAGTTAGAACGGCTCTTTACTAATCTTACTTGTTTATTGTAAGATCCAAATTCCTTAAAGAATATAAAATATCTGGAATAAAAGGACAATTTCATTAAACGTTTATTGTAAATCACCATAGTAGAGTTTAGTTAAAATTTTACTTACTTTTTTAAGTCTTCTATATCTCTCTCGTTGGGGTTTATCCATATAGCACTTTGAATGCTATCGCCGGATTTCGAAATAACCTTTTCTGTGTCCTCTGGGATTGTTTCAGACTTTGTCTCTGATTCATCTAGATCAAAGTCTGGAAACTCTTCTATACTGTCAAGATCAGGTTCAGGACCGTCATCATCCGCATCAGAGTTGACTGTCTTTGAATCCGAATTAACATTGTCTTCTTCATCTTGACACGGCCATAATGTATTTGTACCTAAATTAGCATTACATTTGTTTCCTTCTTCCGGAGAACGCTTATATTATATGCTTGCAAATTGTGTAAGTAAAAAAATGGTTACATCCTATTTATAATCGATTTTGCAACGTTCATTGCTATATTAGATCATTTCATATTTTATATGTTACTATTTTACGATTTGGATCGTTCTTTCATTACGTATCCCACCTTCAGAGCGAATATAAAAAGAAAGATTTAATACAAGTTTTGAAGATATGATGATTAATGGCAGAAGGATTAACGTACCTACTTAGAATTGATGCTCACATTTTGCAATAGTAGATATAAAAAAGTGGAATATGTTTTATTTCAAGACGACACATAAAAAAAACCTCCACAATTTTCTGCAAACGTTCGTTATTCGGAAAACCTCTCCCAAATTTTCGTAATAATTTGGGATGGTTAAACATTTCATTTAATAAGTCTTTATTTGTACTACATCATTTTCATAGTTATGATATAATTTGTTACTTTTTTTATACACAACAAAATGTATTTTGCGTACCTTTAAGTATAGGGTTGAGATTGAACATTGCCGGGCTGGCCGCGGCGACAGGCAAGGCTTGGTGCTTGAGACAAAGCGTGATAACAGAACATACTCTAGCCAAGAGTCCGTCGAATTCTGGCTCATCCGGGCAATGGGAGCAGAAACGATGCAATGTCTGCACGTGTTTCTTCGTGCAAAGTGCGCGACGACCCGCCTCTGAAATGGTTTTACATACACCATTATCTACTATGAAGCATATCCCCTCGATGAAACTTGGCATCTAATTTCAGGTTTAACTAGTTAGTGGGATTTTCAATTAATGTTATTTCTGTTTCTAGGATACAGTTACTATTACTAAGTTGCAATGTTGTCGTTATTGCGTGCAAATAAATCAATTTGAGTTTTGTGAGGTCTTTTGTACGAGTAAGACTATAGTAAATTACAATGTGAAGTGAAGGTCTAAGCAGTGATTATTTTTGCAGACATTGAGCACCCAGAAAATTAATATAATGCAAAACTTAGTATTAGCTTAGTTAATATTTTCACCTATATCACTTGCAATTTGTAGCTGTAAATGTACATACTTATATTGCATAAGTGCTGTAGTGTCTGGAGTATGTGAGCGCATATCTTGAGCCTCATGCGCCCTTCATAGCGGTCCCAACGGTCGAACACCCTTAGAAGCACGGTAGAGAGGCCTGTCTTCACGATCTGCATGCAGCACACCTCTGTGTGAGTTACGTACGTGTGACTCAAATGACATACACATCACGCATTGGACATGCAATTTTTATAACACATTTAAAAGACAAAGTACACGTGGATCATACGCCAGCGTTGTGGGTGTAACGTTCATTCTAAGTATGAGGTGTTTCTTGTGATGTTCATTCTTCATTGAATTGTGTCATTCCCAAACACTTAATGTCGTGGATTTTGTGCATACCCTATTGTATACCAAGTAAAATGTTCTGATTGCAATCATTTATTAGACCGGACAAGTAATTAATCACATTAATGGTTCCTTTTGAAATGTCAATGACTAACAATAAGTCGAGTTTGACATGTTCAATGAATTAATATCATTTTGACAAAGGACTTTTTAACTTAACTGTTTTTACTGAAGTAGTCGATGGCGTCGAGGCAGAGTCGTAATCTAGCCGTAGGGATGAAACCCAAACTGACCATGATTCTCTCGTACGTAGATATTACCCCATCACGTATTAAAACAGATGTGGTTACACCTGAAAATAATCAAATTGAAATAAAATATCTTGGTTGTAGAAATATGGAAATTGATAGCACGACAAATCAAACAAATCTCTTACTGTTTTTAGCAAGTTGTTTCATGATGACTAACAAAGGGAAAATTATCTTGTTGTCGGTGAAGTGACCTTTCAGAATAAGGTGCATTGTTCGCACGCACCCCAACATTCTTACTTTCATTGCAAATTTTGGATCTGGAAGCAAATTTATACGCAAATAATAATATGATTTTAGATTGTAGGTTTATATTGTAAATCGAAATCAAAACTAAAAAATAAACCTATCTAATTTTTTGTGTGTTTGCTACAGGTTAGTAAAAAGTCGTCTTTATAACCTCTAGAGCCAAGCGGTGCAAGGATCCATAAGAGGTCTTGTTGCAATAACTCAGAGCTCGCATGGCGTTCACGTTTATCATGCAAAATTCCAAGAAGCTTGCGCACGATTGCCTGCGTGCCTTTCATAGCTATGAAGTCCTCTGCACACTGCTGCCTCATAAGGTTGTTTGCTGCAAGCAACATTATTTATTAATTCCTACCTTTCGATGCCAAAGCGCCGAGGATCCACACGAGGTCGTGCACCATCACCTCATTGCCTAGGTTGTTGTCGCGCTTATTGTGAGACGCGAGCAACGTTCGGATAAGCAACTGTGTCCCATTTATCTCTATGAAGTATTCCAGGCACTCCTGTCTCGATTGGTTGTTCACTGAAATTATCGATACCCATGCTTTTGTCATGCATTTTTTGATTACGTCTGGATATGGGTGTAAGCCCGCGATATTACTCACAAAGCTTATTATAGTGCCTCTTTAAATAGAGGGCAATATCAGATTATAAAAGCCAAATGAGATTATTAAAGTAGTACATAACATTTCGCTCGAGCCACCTACGCTGTCGTCGTGATATATTTGTATATCCATTGCCATTGTTTCGTTGTTAATGACAGTTATAATAAAATGCAGTAAAGTAACAATTGAATTTACAATCACTCCAATAAAATACGACAAGGGCATGTTTCCGAGTAGTTCATCAATGCCATGCATGTATCGTATGAGAGCTCGCTTAAAATGTCAGTAGGCGAGATAACTAGAAAAATATATTTGATAAGCTTTGAAATTTCAGTGCGCCTCCATAGAAGCCGTGTGACATACACTGTGCGCTAAGCCACTGATAAAGCTATACAAATCGTCATTTTTATAATTATGTAGACAATTTTCAACGAAGAATTTTGACACATTGTATATCTTTAGTAATGGCTTACTGTACAATACTCATGCTATTATACCTGCCATAAAGCTCAACCCTATCACAGTGTGCTGGAAGCTGAAATGTTTTTAGCAAGTGATAATATTTACTATTGCTCGTTAACCACCTAAACAATCCCGCAGGGCATGCAAATCATGTTGCGTATTGCTCTTTGCTTTATTGTCATTGAAGTGTCATTCACATTGCTTTGTACATAATATAGATATATATTTAGAAAATTGTTAGTACGTCATATACTTTAAGGTAAGCGCCACACTATTTCGGCGTACCTACCACTTTTGACTTGAGGTACTTTGTTTTCTTTGCCTCTTTTTTTCGTGTCTTTCTTCTTTCCGGCAGCCTCTTTGGGAATTACCTTTTCTATGAGATAATGGATGATTACCAATAGAATTCAAGTGTGTTTCCGAAATAGTAATAAAAAAATAATGTAAAAGAAATATAATTTCCCTTTATTGAAAGATTATGTTCATCAAGACAAACATCCTTAACTTAGCTTATAAAATTTTGGAAGTCGATATAATTTAGTTTCAAACGAGTCCCGTATGTGATAGGACATAACGCTTACATACACTTTGTATATATTGTATAACATAATACTTCATTGAACACGCTTGGTCAATTGAAGTCAAGCCTCTAAAGGGAAATTAGTATTGCATTTACAGCATGTATTCAATACCATAGGAGCTACTACTACACGTACCCGATAATCTTTTTCCTTTCCCAGGTTTCAAACATAACGTTTCTCTAAGGATAGATGTGATATAGGTGCAAGTAGCCGAATCTCTCGAAGTCTGAAAAAGTTTATATTAAAATGTGTCAGGAATTATTTTGGCAGTGTATGAATTCAAAACTGTCAGGAAATATTTAAAACTATTACTAAATATATAAATTTTATCGAAACATCGTGAAAGAGTTAATTAGTCCACCAAAATGGATTTATTCTAAAACGAAGCCATAATAGCAACATCCTCTTTTTAAATAATGATATATACCTACAATGTATTATGTGTGTTATGCAAAAATAGTAGGTGAATTAACGAGAGCGAGTGCGAAATACACACGTGTTTCTGTTGATAGATTTCCACAAGCAACAGCACCGCGGCTAGATCACTTCGCAGTGTACACACTTTTCTAGTCTCGCTTACATAGATTAGTCAGATTATGGGAGCGTTTTTTTTAAATAGACTCGCGTTTGACCACACTCTCACTTGATGTACGATGGGTCGTATTTTATAAAAATACCTATTAATTCTAGCCCAAATTGTAGTTTGTTCATTAATTTATATGCATTTAATTTGTGTGTTAATGAAATAAAAGTAATCTTAATAGATATGTATGACGCATTTTACATAATTTTCACTTGAACTAAATACACTTCCTATAACTTACTTTCATAATTGTATAATTGTCGTTTGTAACAATAGTATCTTTCTATAAAATAGTTTTATGAAAGTTTTTTTTAAATGACAATCGTTTTACATATTGTCAATTCCGACAATTTATTACGAGGTATTCCTATAAGTAACTGCAATGTGCTCACCTCGTTTTTTATTTAGGTTTGGTTAATGTATGAAAAAGCAGCCAGAACCGATTTTTTTTGCGTTTCCGAACATGTTTTAGGTCATTTTTATTTAGTTATGTAAATAATTGAGGTTTATGAGTTATAATTTTATTGTTATTTAAAATGAGTGTTACGGTTAATGATTGTTGTCAGAAATGAAATCATAGAATGTAAGTATATTAAAGGTTCGTTATATTAAGTGAATTGTTTATGAAAAAAAAAATATATTAAATAAAATTATATTACATGAGCGTTAGGTTAATTATATGTATATGATACATTAGACACCCCGTTAAATTATTTGCTTACGGTTGTCTTAATTTTGATCCTCAACATAATAGATGGCGCTTACGGACTTTGAAATCGAATTAAATTCCATGCAAAATAATTATGAAATATTTTGAAGATTCCCCTATTGGCACAATATTGTATTTTTAGTTATGTAGTAATCACTAAATTGTTAAAAAGAAAAATTATCAAAAATTACATCAATTTTACTACAATCATCATGCAATTGCAGTATACGTATACTAATGGACAATACTAATTCCTCACTTCCAATATAGATACGAGCATCTGCAACGCGCCCGAGTGCTTGTTCCATAGTTTTTCCAAAGAAGTTTGTCTTATGTGCTTATCTGAAACAAAACAATACTTGTAACATTTGTATCGCGCAATTGTAAATCCTTACCCGACCTTATTTACTCTTGAAAAAAATATTATAAAAAAATCGGCAATCACAATCTTTTCAAAACCAGTTGTGAGAAGATTGTGCAAACAAACAAGGAACTTTTCAAAAACTCGTCTATAAGCTTCTGGTAAAAAATTTCCTCATTTTAAATTTCGATATGCTTCTGGTTCTATTTTTTTTTAATTTTTAAGTGTCAATGACCTTATTATATAGAAGAATAAGCACACATAAACGTTAATAGATGAATAAAAAGAACTTGTGTTTATGTAGTTACATATCGACGCTTGTAAGTCAAAATGGGATAAGCGACGCATTTGGGTCATATTGAGTTATATACAACATTGGAATCAGAAATATTAGCTAATTCCAACGGTATATATAACTCAATATGACCAAAAGTGTGAAGAGTCGCCTATCCCATTTTGCCTTTCAAGCGTCATATCGACGTCGACGCTTGAGAGATCGTTCGACGCGTTCAACAGATCAGTTTATTAATGTTAACTACTCCTTTCTATCATGATTTAACGGCCTTGCATAAACATTATTATGGCAACTGAGTTGTTCATGTTCTTTTGCTTTCGCTTCGGGCTTCCGCGGCGTGGTTTGTTCAGCGACGGTGACGCAGTGCTCCGGAGGCCATCAACTGCTCTTTTGGCATCTCAAATTATTATCTTCATAAATACCACATGCGATACTGCTCTATAAACTCAGAGCCACACAGATCAAGATAATAAACCAACTCTCGATCAATTACTCTCGTGAATGTTTATGTTGTTATGAAAATTTTATTGATACAGAAATTAATATACTTACTTTACTACACCGTGACTAAATTATTGTTTTTTTTGGAATACGTATATAGCAATAATAAGCAAGTAGCGGTGTCAAATTAACCAATAAACACGCATCTTGTCCTTTTCAAATATTTATACATAATTTGATCTTCATAATGCCAATTTCAAAAGATGTAACGTTATCTGTTTTATTTTACTGTAATGGAATGACATTTCCATAAAATATATTAAGTGCATACATGCACTTTTATGTATTCCTCATTGAGAATGGAAATGTGAGATGAGCAACAATAATAGCTGCTTAATTTTGTCGGTATCGCTTCAATACGGAAGTTGGCTGCATAAATCGGGTCAAGCACAGCGTTGTTTATGTTAGTAGTGCAATGATCATGGGAGTGGTGACAATGACATGCCGTCTCCTCACAGGTGTCCGGTGCCGGTTGGCGAAATGCCAGCGGGGAACGTCCAACCCAGAGCACGCGTTCTAAACACAATATGTCTTTCATCCATGAATTCGTCGAATCGCTTTTCTAGAAAACGTTAATGCTATGGCAACTGACCACCTCAGTCATCTCCTTACCGACCTCGACGTGGCATAACCATAACATTGTTGACGTTTATGAATGACTAGCTGGTGCCCGCTACGTCGTCTGTGTAGAATAACTACCTACTTCTAGTAGTCTAATGTTCTATTTATTTGAGAAATGATTGGTTCTCTATACAAACTTTCATCTCCTTCACACCCTTCAAAATTTTTTTGTACCATTGAGTAGCATATGTCCGTCTACTGGCTCCCTTCTATCTCTATGTTAAAATTCATCAAATTTGGTTCAGCAGTCTAAGCGTGAAAACGTAACTGATAGAGTTACTTTCGAATCTTTAATTTTGATTGGGATAGTTTGGATTATTCTGGTTATCATACCTCCAAATCTTTCTGTTCCTCTCAAGGTCTTGAATATATTTTATGTATTAGGTCTTAATAAACAATTGTACTCAAAAGAAGAATACAGCTCAATTGACTGTCCGGAATTGCTATTACAAATGTCACTAAGAGTTTTATTTAGTCTTTGAGAAGCAATTCAGTTTTGGTTCTACACCCGGTCCGTACCAATTACAGGCAAAATGAGTTTATGTGGCGTGCAAGCAGATGTGGGCACAGGGTAAAAACCCAATCAACCCGCCCGTATTTTAACTGGATTTTTATCCAAAGTTTTAATCTATTTCTGCTCAAAATCCAAACATTCCATACTTATTACTAATTTCGATGTAAAAAATCTTTTTTAAGCGAAGAAGAGGCAATTCCACACAATACTAACCTTGCAATCCTGTGGATTCTCACTACGATTTTTAAGGTGATCGATTCAAGTGCACACGATCTAACGATTTTTGGATCGATTTATTTCAATGCCATTTTCAAACAAATTTCTATTGAATAAAAGGAAAATCGAATCGTCTAGATCAGAAAGCAATAAACATTTTATAATAATTTCATAGAATTGGAACAAAACTCGAAGAACACCCAGGTTACTTATTGTATTTAAATTTGTGAGGATCTGTAATTGGCTCTCAGTTGTTATTATTATTGATTTAAATTTTAAGCTGTCGATCTTCGTTTTATATAAATAATAAATAAATAAGATACAGTACTTCTTTGATCCCAAGAGAGAAAGAAGCGCTTAATGTTTAATACGTAGTTTTATTCGAAGATGCTGAGAAAGTTTTCGATAATTTTAGACTAAGCACACGTAGTAAGTCACAAACATATTTTTGCATATGGAAAAGGTTTAAGAGTCAGCAGTATTTATAAGATAAATGACGACACGTTTTTTTGTTGCGGACAGTATGCAATGATAATTTGATGCAAATGCATTAAAAAAAGATTAACAAGACCAGTAATAAAACTTTTACTTTACGAAATTATTTGTATAATATAATGTAGCGAATTTAATTAATGTAGGCGGAACGAACAAGTCGTACGCCTGGTGTTTAGCGACACACCTGTCCATAGCAGTTGCAGTGCCACTCATCCCGAAACAAGTTGACTAATCCCATGTGCTCACGTAAGTATTCTTTCTTAAGGAGCTCTACTGCTACGAAATCTACAACGTATCCATGACCTAATCTATACGTAACATGTTATAGTTGTGAAAAATATGGCTATACTTTCTTAAAAAAAGTTAATGTTCATCCATCAACTGCCGCATCACGTAGAGTTCCCGGGTTGGATTTCCGGGTCTAGAGAAATATTTGCATGGTCTATATTAATTTCTCCCGTGAGTTGTGGTAGTCTAGTGCGTGTTCAGGACACCCGCGATACAGGGTTTCCCTAGTGCGGGGATGAGTGTGTGAGCGTTATTAGCCGGATCTGTAGATGGAAAAATGACAATATAACAGTATAAATAGAACACTAGTATTCGGTAATACTTGTACGATGAATTTGATAAATTGCTACAACTGTGCGTTTACGTAGCGTAGGTTCACGTAACACTCATCATAACATTGAAGTGTTTGCCAACGACATAATTGTAAACATGTCCCTGTCCCCAGCTGCCAAATAAATAATAAAAATCATTTCGGAAATCAAGTTTGACACGGCAGGAGCGAATGTCAGTTTCGAAAATGAAAATGGATGTTATTACAAATTTAAATCAGTCGCGTTAATTATGATAGTGGGCACCGAGAATTGTGTTCGAAACGTGGCGTAAAATAAAATTATGGAGTGCTAATTTACTACTTTCCGAGTTTCCGAATTGCCAAGATTAATTTATAAAATATATTATATAATAATAAACAAAAACTGCTTTTGGGTTAGCGTAAGTGGCATAGAAACGAATTTTGTATAATCCAGCATGTTCTTGTCTGTACATGCTTGGTACTAACCAACAGAACAAAAATTTCATATAATAAAATAACACAAACAAAAAATAATAATAATTTGTCATTAAAAATTTAATTAATGCTATATTCTTTCCAACTACGGCGTTCCAGCGGTAAGTGCCTATGGACGTCTGATAAAGCAGTTTAGGCTTCGAATCCTGACAGGATCAATTTAAAAAAAAATACGAAATTTTCTCAATGATTATTGCTTGGGAGTTCTCGGTTAATTTTATCGTTTTGGTACATTACTGCTTTTTAAGAATAGTGGCCCAATCCAAAAAATCCTTTTTTTAGCTTTTTACCCAGATTTATTCTGAAATTGCTAAGTCCGAGCTTTACATTGATTAGAATAATCACACGACAATTTTGCGCGACCGACTCGTTTCCTGTTGTTTTCAAACCATCCTCCTGATTTCAAAAGCATCTAACTTTTGAGATAGGTCACTATTCTAGAAAGCCATCGACATGGTATTCCTTAGTTTATGTTCAGGCAATTATTTTCTGCACAAAATACAATTATTTTTCATTTAAACATTATGCACAGCAGTCTAATTTTGCAATTGTCTTAAAATTGAGACAAAAATACTTCTTGATTATCGCTTTACTACTATAATTTATCGTATCCTTAATTAATATCCATTGGTCTATAAAATAGTCAATACGGCGATATTTGATTGAACGACATTCCGGCATTGAAAGGCCTGTTGTTTTTTATTGAGTGTATTCAAATTCTGCCTAACCGCGATAGACGTATTACAATAACATTCGTTGTATATTATTATTTAACTTGTACGAATAGGAGATTATGTTGACAGTATGGTTATGCCCATTGTTAATTATACAAATTTATTATATAATTTTTTTGTAAATAGTTAAAATGAAAATCATCATCAATAATTATGAGTGATCGATGTTTTTCCTTGTGAAAATACGTCACATTGCCATGGTAAACTAATGCTTGCTCTATTTATTTGAAAGAATATTCTTAAAACTTATAACGCACCTTTGAATTAATCTATTTATGTTTTCTAACCAGACTGACGAGTTTAGAGTAGACGAGACCAATTGATATTCATACAGTATGTTATTCTGAGTTGCGATCACGTACAAAGACGGAAATTGAGGTTCGGTGAAACTATAATACTCGCTATACGATTTAATTATCGGAGATTTTATTATGCTTTGATCTTAGCGAAAATGGTAACAGAAATAATAAACTTAATTTTTTTTAAACACGCATATTAATTGTTGACATTGGCGCGAGATGGTAGATGAA